ACTCAGGAACAAATAAGGAAACAATTTGAGTAACTCCCGTGTAGACGTTATTCATTATGTTTGAGGCAAGAACAGTGAAAAACACTGTAACATGTACCTTTTGCAGACACATCTGAAAATAGCTGACATAAGAGGACTCTAAATACTGATGGACATGACTTCCTGAGCTGCAAGATCAAGCTCTGTGTTAATTATTAAGACAACATAAAGCCCCTGAAGGATCTGAAGCCCAGGCAGTGGTGGGGTAAAAAGTGCTCTCAGAAAAGAAACGAAGAAAATCAAATTTCAAAAGAGTTCTGGAACATCACTTGAAATAATTCAGCTTGCCCTGAATATGCCTCAGGTTTTGTCCTACTTGGGTTTTGAAATTGCATGTCCTTGCACTCATTATGCTACAAGGGTGCGAATGTCATGTTTTTCCTTTTTATATCACACAAAAGAGCACTTGAGTTTTCCCTCATCAAGATTGCACTGTGAGCAAAGTGGCGTAAAAACCAAAGAAAGGACCTGCAAGGAATGCTTATGATCATGCTTCTCAGAGAGATTTCATGCCCAGAGATTCATGAATTTATTCCAAGAACAATAAGGAATGATTCTATTATCTCTTGAATGTGGCAGAAGTGATTCTCAAAATAGTGAAACCACCGCTAGCCTGAACTCAAAACATTAATGTATTACTGAATTTTAATGGATAAACAAATATTTTTGGATAATATACTTAAATTATTTTATAAGATTCTAAATTCTTAGTTTTCTAATTTAATCATAATTTTAATGGTCAAAGTTATAAATTAAAAAAAAATAGATACATAGAGTTGAGTAATTGTAGCATTCTCTTTTTCCTAATTAGTTTTTAAGCCTACCCATTTTCAGGGAAAAATCCTAGAAATATTTCATATTAGGAGGCAAATATCACTTCTTACATATGTAATAACTACGTATAGAAGTTATTATTTTATATATCATGCAACCAAGGCTGAAGAACTGCTGATAATTTGTGCAATATGAGAAAGTTATGGGTAATCTTGGTTGATCTGTATTCAAAATTTTAGCAGAGATGAAAAAAATGTTTTCCTACATTGAGTTTAATGTGTAATAACCTGTCAGATTCTTTCTTTCTCCTGGGACACACTAAAATGCTGCATATCATTGATTATTCATCTTCCGTTCACTAGAATAATTCAGAAATACATGCTCATTTTTCTTGATCAATGTTCAAAGAAAATATCAATGATTCCCCAAAGGCAACAACATCAACAATTACATTTTCTTCAGTTAGTTATCTTCTCTCAGATTTCAGAGACTTTTGTTGCTTCTTGGAGTTGAAAAGAAGCCATAATTTGTTATTATACTCCTTTGACTTTAACAATAGAGTCTAACACCTGGAAGTTGCCTTCACTTTTGCCTCAACTTAGGATAGGAAATTTTGAAGGGGAGTTACTAAAGGTGAGGAAGAGGAAGAAGGAAAGGACAAATTCACATGTGAAATATGGCTGCTGGAAACTGTTACTTCACTAAGAAAATTCAAGAGAAAGAAAACTAAACCAAGGCACAGACGTTCCTTTCATTGCTCTCCATCTTTGGGGAGATGTCTTTGAGTTCGTTTAGGTTCCAAATCACTGTGTCCATAACATACTTCAGAGTGCTTTTCCTTCCAGTTGGAGGTGTTTTAATGTGAACTGGTAGCTGTTTAAGTCATCTGGAAACTAACTTTGAACCCAATTTCCCTCAGTCCTGTGGCTTTAAGTGTTTTGACCACAACAGAATGCTCACATTCACTGATTGTCTATTATATGTCCATACTGTTGGCCATACACAGAAGGATGAACACAAAACTGACAGTTGGGGAAGGAAAACAAGAGCCAAATAATTTAATTTAGCAGAACAAATGTCACAAGAGAGTGTGGAAAGTTCAAAATGGAAGAGTGGCTAAGAATTATTCAGACAGTCTCCTTGCCATAGCTGACACAGGCCAGGCAGGCAAAGAAAGTGGAATGATTTCTTTCTGGAATTTTCATATTTGAAGGCAGATTTGCTTGAAAAGCTGCCAAGGTTGAATAAGCTCAGGGTTAAGAAGGAGAGGGAGTCCTCAGGAAACAGCATAATTTAAAAGATCACCCCGAGGTAACTGACATTTTGCTTTCTTTGATTCAATTATATGTGATTTTTTGTTGGAAGATAATAAATGTTTATTTATATAGCAACTTATAAAATTGGAATCATTTTATTTTATTGTGTTGTTACACTTACTCTATTACTTCTTATTTTTAATCTCTTTCTGTAATTAATGTATGAACTCCATCCTAAAATATATAAAAGGTACAAAGGAATAGGAAACAGTGGGCGGTTCGGCAGGGCCCAGGTGGCCTGGCCTGAGCCGTTAGGTCCACCTTTGTGGAGGGAGCCAGGCCCATCAGTCTCTCAGTGTAACGCTGCAGCCACACCTGTACACTCAGTCATGCACTGAATTACACACCGCCTGGGATGCTGGTCCCTTCAGCTGAAGGAAGTGAACTCATCTTCACAGCAGCAAGTTCCTCTGAACTTTCTGGATGTTGACACTATCTGGCATCAGGATAGATCAGGAAATGCTTCAAGATCAGAGAATTCCATCACATGCCAGTTGTGCTTGGAAGAAGAGAACTACAGATGCATATTCCCACCTTTGCTCCTCCTTTCTTTAATCATACTTGCCTGAGATCCCTTTTAAAATCACCATTCAGTCATTCAAGAATTGGAAACTTCTGTGACTAAAGAACAGATCTGTGGATGCTATATCGACGTTTGTATTCCAGAAACACCTCCTTTTCCTCTAGTTACCATTTTTTCATAATTCTTCCTTTACTTTTGTCTCATTATTGCTTCTTGGTTGTGTTTCAGGCTGTGTTAAAAGCTTAATTCCTGTGATGATCACTGCAGTGATGCTATGAAGACGATTTGATACATTTCCAGTCAATAGCAATGTGCTCACTGCCCCATGACAAGAGCATTGTATTGTCTTTGGGGAAGGATGAAAGTAGACAACCCCTTGAGAAGCTAAAAAACGAGCTTAAAGGATTTGTTAGGATGTCAGACGGGTTACATTATGAAAATGGATTAGCAAAGCTGCGAAATGGTGCAGAGATCTTAAAGCGCCATGTGAATGAACTAGGACATAGGTGATGGAAAGGTCTGGGGTGGCCCACTCAACAGGAGGACACAGAGGATGAGATGCAAGTGTTTGCATTATATATTGAGTCCATTCAATTTCACTGTTGTCGTTGAATATAGTCAATGGCACCACACGTGCTTTCAAAGTGTACTTGCTGAATGATTAAATAGAATACAAGAATGGAATTGCACTCCTTTTTTACAAGTTACCTACTAAGATACTTAACCTAAAACTCATTCATGAGGATCAATGATAATTTCCACTTCAAATTACAAAATTTATGTCAAGCAGTGTTGCAAATTATAGCAACTAATTTTGCCAAGGAATAGAAAGCAGAGTCTCACAATAGAGTACCCAAACTTGAACTACAATAAGACTTTAGTAACACAAACTGGCAATGTACATCAAGTTCCTTAAAATACTCCATTAGCATATTTGCCCTTTTGTGGCCACTTCACAGCTTAATGGGATTAACAACCTTGAAATTGCCCTCCACGTCTTAATTCACTTTATTTCTCCAACACAGAAGTCATTACTCGGTCTCCTAGAGCTGTTATTTAGAACTGTGATGTTCCATTACTCCGCTGCATCACAAGCAAAAGGGAGGATCTCGGGGTTGTCTCATCACACACTGACATCTGAGGATGTCGGACTTGCTTGAGGAAAACAATAAAAATGAGCCAAAGGATGAACTGAAGGTAAAGCAGTGTTTGCAGTCTACATGCAGCCCTGGCAACCCTGTCACTGTTCAGAATCTTCAAATCACCAGAAAAAGTTGCCATGGTCATGCAATGTGTGAGATCAGGAGGTAATATAATTGAAGCTCAAGTTCAGAGACTATTGGTTAGCTAATTTATTTCTTTTCCATGTTACTAGGCATTCAAGTTAAGGTTAAAAAGAAAAGATTTGGGGGCCCAGCACACATGGCCTAGCGGCTTAAGTTCTCACCTTGAACACGCAAGGATCCCATATGGGCACCAGTTCTAATCCCGGCAGCTCCACTTCCCATCCAGCTCCCTGTTTGTGGCCTGGGAAAACAGAGGAGGAGAGCCCAAAGACTTGGGACCCTGCACCCACATGGGAGACCTGGACGAAGTTCCTGGCTCCTGGCTTTGGATCGGCATAGCACCAGCCATTGCGCTCACTTGGGGAGTGAATCATTGGACGGAAGATCCTCACTCAGCACTTTCCAGCCATGTGGAATGACTTGCACATTGAGACGTTCCCCGCAAGACTGAAATGCTTTATGCTTCAATGTATTTCTTTGCCTCTAAGTATCACTCCTGGGTTCCTGCTATATGTTTATTTGAAGATAATCCAAGTATTCTATATTAAACCTATTTCTCACCAACACATAGATATGATTGTCACACATTCCACAATAAGATTGTGCATTATCCTCAGTGGATTTGCATGTGCCAATGGCCAATAGAACCTGGGGAGAAGCGATGTTTGCCACATTCAGGTAGAAGCCTTGAAAAGCTAGCACATGCGCCCTCTTAATTTGCTTCTCTACAGTGGCAGCATTCTAAATGATGGAACCTCAGCCGCAATTCCTGAATGAGAACACTGTGGAAGAAGACCTCCCCTCAGTGTTTCACAGGTATGCAACACAGGCGTGGGGCAGCTACAAATAACCATAAAATGACCACCGAGATAGGAGGTTATATTATTGACCAAATAGGTACCTTTTGTGTGCCTGAAGCACCATATTTTTCGTCTCTCTCAAATAGCTATCCAACTCAATTTCTGCCGTCTCTGCTGGCAGACCACAGCCTCCACATGCCCATGTCTTGCGCCCTATATCCTTCCTAACAGACAGTTGATGCTAACACTGGTATCTACTCACAGTTATGGCAAGTAGCACCAGTGTAGCCTGTGTCACTGCAGTTGCAATGGAAGGTGGACCAGGACTGGGAGCAGCTCCCTCCATGTTCACAGTAGTTTGGCAAACACCTAAGGGGAGCAAACAGAATAAATAAGGTCAGCTGGAACACCCATATATCATTGTTAAATGCACAGTGCCATTTTTAAGCTAAGATTCATGCTACAGGTAGTCAAAGCATTATGACAAACTGAAAAATATTTTTGTCACGAATATTGCAAATTCTCCAAAATTTTCACAGAATCTATCCAGCAACCACATTTAGATAGATCTGTCTTAAAAAGTACTATTTAAATTATGAAAACTATATGTAGCATTTAGCATTGTTCACAATGACATGTCTCCTGATGAGGAATTGTTGTGTGTGACATAAGGAAAGCTGTAACATACAAACCTTGATGAGTTATTACAAACCAACCACAATGTCAACCCAAACTACAGCAGGTTCAGCCTTCTTTACGTGAAAAGTTTAGTATGAAAGCATGCTAGAAATGGCTTGTGGTTTAATGGGCAAAGTCATCGCTGTGATACCCCATATGGGCAACATTTTGTGACCCTGTTCATTCCCTTCTCATCCAGCTGACTACTAATGTGTCTAAGAGTGCAGCAGAGAATGGCCCAAGGCCTTGGGCCTCTGCACTCATGTGCAGCTCCTGGCTCCTGGCATCGGCTGGATCCCACTCTGGCCCATTAACTATTTAAGGAGTTAAACAGTGGATGGAGGATCTCTCTCTCTCCCACTCTCCAGCTCTCCCTCTCATCTCTCTCTGATATTCTTCCTTTCAAATAATTGCAGATATATTTTTTTTAAAGATTTATTTTATTTTTTTTGGAAAGGCAGATATACAGAGAGGAGGAGAGACAGAGAGGAAGATCTTCTGCCTGATGGTTCACTCCCCAAGTGAGCACAACAGCCGGTGCTATGCCAATCCAGAGCCAGGAGCCAGGAGCTTTCTCCAGGTATCCCACACGGGTGCAGGGAGCTGGATGGGAAGCAGAGCCGCCGGGATTAGAACCGGCGCCCATATGGGATCCCGGGCATGCAAGGCGAGGACCTTAACCACTGCGCCACCGCATCAGGCCCATTGCAGATATATTTTTAAGTAAATAAACAATGACGATAACAAAGTTAGACAAATATTTTTAAAAATTTAAAACAGTTCAATTTTTTAAAACTGTTTAAAGAAAACATATTAGGTACTGCACAACTTAATGGAAATGAAGGCAAAATTAATTTCCTTTGTACAAGTAATCTTCCATTTCATAAATATCCACCAGGGTGTTTCTAAAAAGTTCATCCAAAATGTTTATTAAGAAAATAAAACACTCTGCATAGATTTCAAAACTCATTGCGCTACCATTCATTTGCTCTTAATTCCATTTCTCCATGAAAGTTTGTGAAATGCCCTCATCTCAGTGCACCTTCATGCTCAGCCATCAACTGTGTGGAGCCTCGGTTAGTAGACTGTACCTCTAATGCCATGGCATTAATGTCTCACTGTCCCCACAGTGAGACAATTTGGCAAGTACTCAGCAAATATAGCAAACAGAATTAAGAATGACAGCCATGATAAAAACTGTTATTCTTTAAAATAATTTTATGAGTCCAAGAAGCTAATATACATGCCTGTGTTCAGATATTTTCATAGAAGTTCTCTGCTCAGCACAGCAAACATACATTCACTAAGATCACATGAACCCTTTCCAGGAAGAACCTCCTTTCACTCAGGTTAGCTCAAGTTGGGATAGACAGGAGCTCAAAAAGACTTTTGGTTTATTCACTTCTTGTAATCTGAACTTTATAACTTTAGGCTTCCAAATCTCACGGGACAACAGGAGGAGAGGGATTGGAGCTATAATAATATTTGTAAGTTTTGAAGATATGTTTAACAAGCTTAAATGAACTTTGCATTGCTAATAAAAATGTAGGCTATAAATCCACTTGACCACAGGCACTCAAAGGTAATGATTTATTGAGATGGAGTTGAAGATTACTTGGCAAAGGGAAAATCTGATATTCCCAGAGTGAGAAGAAATAATGAATGAATACTCGCAGGGGTGTCCTGGAGCTGGGTTCATTTTGGTTCGGTGCACATTGTAATTAGAAACCGTCATCTATAGAGTCTGCACTTGAAATATGAGATGCACATGGCAAACTTATTTGAAAAAGGACAGTTGTGAAGTGTAAAACCCAAGTGCCGAGAGATGCTCACTTTCGATGTAGCCCTGTAATCCTACAGTGTCACATGTGTGTCAAGGGCAGATGTGGCTTCTATTTGTGCATATTGTTGGAAAAAAAAAACTACTATCATGGACACAATATGCTTTTGCATCTCTCCAAGAGCCCCGCTAAGCAGGCATTGTCTTGGAAGTTGTTTTAGATAACAGTGATGAGTTAAAAGAAAGGCATGGAAGAGTGGCAAACAGAAGAGGCAAGACAACAAGGCATCAGAATAAAAACATATTCTCAGTAATTAATCATTGTCAAAGGACAGTTGCTCCCGATTTGTGATTTTCTCCAAAGGAGGAAAACTGAATCATCTAGGGGAAAATTAGAGGCAAATGAGTCTGAGAAATTGAAGTGAGAGTTCAATTTGAAACATCCTGGCCAGCAAACTTTGAATAGAGTGACCTCTCTCTCATTAAAGTTATAAACCATCTCCTTGCAACTGAATGTCAATTTCATAAACATGTTGGAAATTGTGAGGGGAAAAGCAGCCTTTTGTACATCACAGGGAAAGACATTCAGTTATAAAGAAGGTAGACACTCAATAAATGCTTGTTTATTGAATAGCTGGCTGCAATAAAGGGATGTACTTGGGAAATAAACAAAATACATGATCAACACTGTATAGGATATTTAAAGGAGTATATTCAACAACTCTGCCCATAAAGTGTCTTAAACATCTCAAAGAACCCTTAGAGCTGGAAGTCTCTCCTGATTTACAAATAACATGATATTCTATAAGATGATCCTTTTTTAATGAGAAAGGAAAATAAACTAAAAAAAAGAACCAGGGCATCACATGTACAAAGAGCCAGGTCATTAAATGTATAATCATAAGAAATTCAATATCACTATTTTAGAACCAGAAATAATTCTTGTCAAACACGTGTTCTGCATGTCCTCTCTGGATAAAGCATCTTCCTCAGAACCTAAGGGGCTCCTGATTCATTCCTGAAATGTTTCCTTCAACTCAAGCCCAGGAGGAGATATCTGGACAACAGTAAGGACTCCCATCACAGGCCAATGTGCCTGGAACTGTGACAGAGAACATGCTTGCTGCGCCTACAAGTGCTAGACGCGTCTGGAGGGCAGTGCAGGGTCATGGTTGTTCTAGCGACCACAGAGGTGTGAGGTAGACTCTCCCATAGTACATTACGCTGCTGAAAGCAAGTACTCTCAGCTCACCAATCTGGAACTCTCACCAGTTCTCCTCTGTAATCATTTTCATTCACTGCACTACTCCTGCACTAGCCCAGATTTGTCCATGGAACACGTAAACTTCTGATACCTTCCCTCTCGGCCCCCCTCCATTGCTAACAACCAGGTTGGTAGAACACTTGCAGTCTCTTTTGCTGTCTCTGGGGACTTTGTGCTTCTCTCCTTTGCCTGTTTCCTTTTGTTCCAAATAGTTACATATGCAAAATGAAGCACGCATGCCTATTATGCTTTAAGCTTCATGCCACACTCTGTGGTAGGCAGCTGCAATAATTATGTCAGTGAATCAATAAAACAATATTGAAAAACAAGTATCATTATGTCCAGGATGGTGGCAGTTATTGGGTTAGTGGCTCAATCAAAAAACCCAGAAGTAAGGTCTGACATACACGTTGGAGGGTTAAAATACGGCTGTTTGTTGCCAAAGTTATCCAAAACCTACTGCAGAACTCCTTCCGGCTCTCTTGCTCCGCTTCAGATCCAGCTCCCTGCTAACATGTGTAGGAAAACAATGCAGGGTGAGCCAAGCCTTAGGCCCCTGACACCCACGTGGGAGACTGGGAACAAGCCCTGAGCCACTAGCTTCAGCTTATTTCAGATTTGCCTTTTGCAGTCACTTGAGGAATGAATCTGAAGATGGAACATCAGCTCAGTCTGTCATTCTGCCTTTCAAGTAAATAAATAAATCTGTCAATAAAACAATCCTGGCTGTTAAACAAATATTATAAACTCTATATGTACAAATCAAACGCATCAATCATCCACTCTGGAATGAAAAAAAAAAACAGTCTTTACGGGGTAACTGTTTCAGGGGAGAGGGGATAGGGAAGGCACACACGGCCTTGAGTCTGTTCTGCTGCCAACCTAAGAACCCTAGAGACTCTAAAGCCTGTTTCTTATGGCCTAGCCTAGCCAGCCAGTTCTGCCAAATCAACCCTGGCGATCAATGGGGTGACAGATGTCGTACCCAGATCGCCCACACATCCAATGACATCATTTGGAAAGTAACTTGAATCGGTCAATACAAATACTGAAAGAACCTGTGACATACTGGTTTCTTCTTAAGTAATGAGTATTTGACATTTTGAACCAGTAATAGTTAACTACTTATTCAGCAGATTTTGGAAGACACTGAGTCACATAGTGAAAGGCTTTTATTTTTTCTCTGATGGAAACAGCTTTGGGGACAGAGCAACAGCAGAAATACAGGGCTTAGCCATAAAGAACCTAGACTGCTAAAGCAGGTATTCTCTCATCCTCACCAAATGTGAGTGTGCAGGTGGAAGCCTCACCCCCAGACTGGCTTCAGGCACAGCCCCATCTTGCTTAAGTGTGCCTAAAGAAACCAGGAAATCCAGGCCCGGCATGATAGCATAGTGGTTAAAGTCCTCGCCTTGCACGCACCAGGATCCCATATGGGTGCTGGTTTTAATCCTGGTAGCCCCGCTTCCCATCCAGCTCCCTGCTTGTGGCCTGGGAGAGCAGTCGAGGACGGCCCAAAGCCTTGGGACCCTGCACCCCCGCATGGGAGACTCAGAAGATGCTCCTGGCTCCTTTGGATTAGCTTAGTTTCAGCCGTTGTGGCCACTTGGGGAGTGAACCATCGGATGGAAGATCTTCCTCTCTGTC